CCACCCCATGCCCTGACCCCAATACTCCATTCTCTCTGCTTCCCTGTCTCACTAGGAGGCACTTTCCTCCCTTTTTCTGCAGAGACAGCCAGGGCTGCTGCTTAGTCATTTGGGATGGTTGGTTTCACACTTCTTATGTCAAAATCAGATTTCCAAGAAGCCAAGAGCATAATTACTGGTCTCTGGACCCACCCACCATACCCCAGGTCTAGGACACAGACACATTCTTGGGCTTTGTTGCACCGCCTGAGCGGGAGTGGTCCATCCCACCACTGAGCAGATGGAGAAAGCTCTCTGGGCCTCAGAGGGTGCTGGAACCCCAAGTGTTCATACTTCCCCACTTGGTTCAGGGACTCTGGCAGCAGCCCCACTGCCTTGCAGCAGGGAAAGCCACAAATGGTCTGGACATCACTAGAAGGACACAGCCTGTGTTCCACAGCAAATGAGACCCCACCCTTGGAAAGGGGAATGTGGGCAGCAAAGGTGACCTTGCCCTCCTCCAACCCCAGGATGGATGCCGGTGCTGGGACAGGGCAGAGAGATGTATGGGCACCAACAGGGGCCAGTAGAGGCTTGCGGCAGCACTGCTATACTTCTCTGTTGCTTTTCCCATTCACCGAGCACCAGGCAGAGTATCAGACTCACATCCAGGCCCCACAGCCAGGTCTGGTGAGTGGACTTGGGTCCATGTCCACAGCCCCTCCTGAACCCCAGATCCCAGGTGGCCCAAGCCCAAGAGGCCCCTCAAAGAGTAGCCAGCACCTGGCTCCACATTAGATAGGGGCCAGTAACCACCTGGAAGCCATATGTTTTGAGGAGCAAGATATCTAATTTGCCCCAAGACCACCCAGGGCAACCTTGGTTACAGCCAAGATGCCCCTTGCCTGTCCTCTACCACTTCTTCCCAGCCATGGTTCTTCACATGAGCCCTCAGGATACAGGTGGCTCCAGCAGAGAATGCCCAAGCTCAATCATGAGGGCATGCCAACCTTGGGGGGCATCCTTTTCCCAGGTAGATGTGTCTCCTTCCTGTCTGCACAATTCCACATCCGGTTGTTTGGCAAAACTTGTGCCTTAGGGGCCATGCATGGGGATCTCAGACCCAAACTGGCAGCATAGAGGCAGGAAGACTGAAGAGGCTGCAGGGGACACTCAGAGGCCAGCCAGCCCTCAGGCCCTTTGCTCTGTCATCCTGCAGCTGCTTGCTTCTGGTAGCTGGACCCGAGCCACAGAGACATTTGTGGTAGTTAGTTCCAATTATGCACCTCCACCTAGCCCATCTTAGGGCTCAAAACTCAAAGGGCTCCACCCTGTCTGTCATCTCAAGGGGTACTTGGGTGCTGAGGTTGGTTCTCAGGCCCAAACTTGCCTATGACCAGAGTCTGCATCCTCATCCAACTGCGAGCTGCTGGCATCAACAAGGTGATGGGCACAAAACACAAAGCATCCAGCACCCTCCCTGCCATCCAAAGCTTTTGACAAAAGTCAGGCCCTGGGTTCCCAGCCTCCATCCATTCTCCCATCTTGTTGGCACTGTGGTCAGTCTCCTTCTTGCCACCTTCTCCATCCCTACCCTGGTCAGCCCCTTATTATGTGCTCCCTTGGATGACCAATGCCTTCCCACCATCCTCCCTGCTCTGACCCATTCCAATCAAGATCCCAGGAAGCCCTTCCTACAGTGAGTACCCACAGCATGGTACGATGCCCCTGAGGGAGGTAGGGTAGAGCAGATCCCCTCCCAGGGGAAGGGAGCAGAGCTGCAGCTATGCGGGTGGTGCTCACTTATGACCCCTCAACACCACCAGGCACTGAGAGCCGCACTGACGCTTTTCACTCAGCTCTCATTTCTCCTTCAGAACAGCTCAGCAAGGAGGTTACTGGCCATTTTTACAGGACAGGGAGACACCCCTCTGTGACAGAGCCCCACTCGGTGAGAGGGCTGCCTCCTACATCCCTTCCCACCAGCTCTTAATTCAGGGAGGGAATAGGCACTCCCTGGATAGCCTGCTTCTTGGGGAAGTGTCAAGATTACAGGGGTGACAACGGAAATGACAGATGGTGCTAGGATAAAGCAGAGATGGGGGGGTGCCTGCCTGGGAGGAATGCCAGGCATGAGGCTGCCATGCTGCACGCTTCTTCTCTTTCCCCCTCACTTCTCCACTTTCCTCTGGCCCTAAAGCCTCCCTCATCATGGAGTTACAACCTCACTCCATGAGATTCTGACAGGAGAAACCCAGGAGATGGCCCTTGTGGTCAAGAAACAGTAAACCCCAGAGTCTGGGACCCAGTGAGGAGGAGGAACAGAGCAAGAGTAGATAGGAGTCTGGCTGCCTAAGGAAGGCAAGAGGCAACAGAAACTCCCCAGAGGTTGTCCAGGAGATGTCCACCCTAACCCCATGGCTGATCTAGGCTTCAGCAGGGCCCAGCCAAGATGTAAAGGCTGCTGAGACTGTGGTGTTTACGTCATGCTATGTGGGGAATAGGAACCCAGCACACATTGACCTCAAAGTACAACTCAGTATGCCCATCGAAGCTCCAGGTTGATACAGTTCCCAGGCCCTCCAGGGCTGGTCTGACCACCAGGCTAGCCTGACGGGCCGTGTAGACCTGCCACAGCTCAATCAGTTCATAGCCTCATGGCCACTGCTTAATACCAAAGTCAACCCTAGGGCCGGGGAAACACCTAAGCATATCTTCAAACACGCCATAGACTGCAATTAACCTTCCACGAACTCTTTGAAGAATATCAATATGGTTGTGCCCATTTTAAAGCAAGATACAAAGAAGAAATGATTTTCCCAGGATGACAAGCCCAGAGAGAATAGAGTCTAAACTCCTAAATTCAGGTCAAACGCTACCCAAGGTCAAACGCCCAAATTCAACCCTGTCCAAGTCCTCCCAGGAGGCTGATGGCCCAGAGCATGGAAGGCATGAAAGGCATCCATCCATCCAACTTAACCTGGCACAGTAGCCAAGGCCCCTGAGCTCAGGCTGTATACCCTTACCTGAGTCCCCTCTACATGCCTCAGCCCACCACGGGGATAATACCCCAAATCCTCACAGAAATGGTCTAAGAGCAAACAGGGGAATCTGAGGGGAAGGGCTTTCCCAGCCCACCTCCTGGCAGTGCAGTGGGCCTCTCAGCTCAGGCTCTGAGGACAATCTCTGGACAAACAGTGATGGGAGCCCCTAGGGAGGGCGCCATGTAACAGAGCAAACTTGTTCTCTGCTGCCTTCTTACACAGAGCACCAGTCTTCACATCCACAAGGACATGAGGTATCATGTTCATTTTTTGTGTCCTTACCATGTGCCAGATACGGCTCTAAGTACTTCACCTGGATCCTCTCATTGAATCTTCCCAATAACCCTATGAGGGAGGTAACATTTTTATCCCATTATACAGATGAGAACACTGAGGGGTTAAATAACTTGCTTAAGGTCACATGGCCAACAAGTAGTAGTCTAAGACTCCTATCAGGCAGTCTGATTTTAGTTAGTCTACAAACCGCTCCCCCTGCAAAACCAGCTGTTAGAGCAACCTCTGGCCACAGACAGACGTATGACCCAGACACAACTTTCTGGTCAGCTGGACACAGAAAATGCACACAGACACGCACGCAGAGATGTGCAAACACTCACAGCTCTCTTGGCCTCCAGCTGATCGGTGGTCTGTTAGGATTCAGGTGCTGCCCTCCTCAGGGACATAAATTCCTATTTACAGTGCAGGGGTGAGGTGAACTTCTGATTCGCCCAACCTCTGAATCGGTTTCTCCTATATTTAAACTTACTTAACTGACACAGAGCCTCCTCCTCAATGGGAATAAAACACCCTAGTCTAGAAATTACGAAACCAACAGCTCCTGCTCCAAAATAGACCAACAAATGTATTTTCAGATTAAAGGGAAAATTTACATACATAAATTCAGATGACAGTATTTATAGCATTAATTATATAAGTCCTGGCTCCCTTATTTAGCCCCAGAACCAATTCCTTATCCATCTCATATTCAGCATTTCCCCCTCCCCTCAACAGCCCTGGGCCCTCCCTCCCCCTTCCCGAGGACTAGGGCCTCACATGCTGGCAAGAGGACACAGCTTCCTTCACTGTCACAGCCCAGCCTCCCAGACACACCCAGATCCAGCCTTAGACACCAGAGGACATGCAGACAAAATCCCCAAGAGGCCCCCCTCCCACGGAGTGAATTATAAAAACCTTTAGGAAGTTGGCTATTGGCCGGCTCAGGCCCAGAGAGACCCCTGTAGGGACCATCAGAGATGTTAGCCCTGCAGAAGGCACAGCCAGACTGAGGCCCAAACAACCATCCACTGGACTGAATCCGTAATTCCTCCAATTCCTGGGGAATGGCTGCCTCAGACCGGATCACTGAGGCCAGACCTGCCTGGAATCGCACCCAGGATCCGGGCGCTTAGGTGAGGAATAGAGGTCGTGGGGAGAGGTGAGAGGTATGTGTTGGGAGATGGAGGGGGAAGGGAAAGTAGGCCCAGGGTCTTCAGGACTCAAGTCTGCAAGTGCCCTGAGCTCATTTGAGGGACTCCCTCGGATCCCTGGGGCTTCATCCTCACCGGCTGTGTCCATCCAGCAGCACCTGCACGGCTAGGAATCTCCCCAGCAGTACAGAAACATCCAGGGAGATAGGGGTCCGGAGTATCCCGGATCCTCCCTTCCGGCACACGGGGCTCCAATCTGTCCTTGCACCTGGCCAGAACTAGGCGCGTATTTATTTGCTCCTTCCCGCGAAAGGGGTCTGCTTCCCCTGCGCCCAAGGTGGGGCGACCCCGCCAGCCACCTGGCAAGGCGCCCCCGCCCAACGCCCCAGGACACCAGGCTAGTGCTGCGAAGAGCCCCCAAGCCGGCCCGGCGTCGAGGCCCGGCAGCGCGGCGCTGACAGCCCGGCTCGCGCCCCTGGCCAGCAGCAGGGCGGCCCCCTCCCCGCGCCCCGCGCCTCCCGCGCGCGCCGCGGCCCAGCAGAGCCCTCACCGGGAAGCGCTCCAGGTCCGTGGCCGCCATGGCGAGCTCTGCACCGCTCAGGCGGGTCGGGGCGAGCACCCGGGCCGCGACGGGGACAAGCCGGCTGCGGGACGCGCTCCGCCCGGGCGGCTGCGGCTGAATGGATCCAATATGGCCACTTCCTGGAAACTCCCCTTGGCGGCGGTGGCGGGAGAAGCCGCGGATCCGCACCCGCCCCCGCCCGCGGGACCGGCCTCCCTGCCCGGCCCGGCCACGAGCGCAGCCCGAGCCCCGCCACTTGGACGGCCGGGGGTCTCCGCTGCGAGGCGGGAGGTGCCAGCTGCGAGGGCTGCTGGGACTTGTAGTTCGCGAGTTGGGGGGCCGGGAGGGCAGTGCTTCGGAAGCCGGGGGCTGGAGACCAGTGCCTACCGGCCTGCCGCGGGTCTCTGGGAGGCTGGGGCCGAGCACGGGTGGGAGTGTCCGGGGCCCGCGCGCTAGGAAACCGGTAACGTGGGGAGGGAAGTGGGGTACAACGTGCGCCCTAAGGGTCCCCCCAAAACCGCTTCTACCCTGTCGGAGCCTGCAAATGCACCGACCAGAGTGTCGACGGGGTGCCTGCGGCCCGTCAGGTCCAGGAGAGGCCGCCTCACCCTAGTATGCCTGTACCCTGGGCCCCACCTGATGCTCTGGTCGGAGCCAGGGCGGCACCCAGGGCGGGACCCGCGCGTCCGGCCGAGCGGCCTTCCCGGGCAAGGGACCAGCCTTTGGCTCCTTGCGCAACGAATGAGCAGGATGCGCAGTTCAGGCCCGGGATTCGTGCAATAGGAAACACAAGCTCGACGGTCAAGGCATCAAACTGCAAGTGACCATCACCCGGCCTGCCCCAAGGGCTTGGGGTGACGTCTTAATGGAGTCTGCGCACTGTGCAATGAGGACAACGGCTCCCATTGCATGCACATTCTCTCTGCTCATCTCGCTACTCAAAACGGCACAAAACTCAGAAAACTAACACCTCTGCCCAAGCCGAACACCCCAGCCAGCTCTGGTCCTTTTCACTGACTATCCATACATAATCCAGCTGCAAACTCTCTGAAACTCTCCTTTTCTTTCCCTTCCCATTGCCTTTCTCTCTGCTCTCTCTGGAAATATGGCAAAGTTTGCCTCCTGCTCCTCTACTGGCCTCATCCCAGGAAGTCCACTCTCCACACCTCCCCCCGCCCTCCGTATCTTCCCGAGAAACAACCCGGCCTGTCCCTCCTACTCAGAAACTTCTGCTGGCTGGAAGTGCCCAAAGACCATATCTGAACTTGGCACACATGGCTTTGAGAGGAGCCCCCTCCCTGTGCCTTCCACTGGCTTTCAGACAGTTGATCTTCTTACCCGGAAATGGTTTTCCCCTCCCTTTTCTCCCAGGCAAACTGTAGCTTGTCACTAAGGTGAACTGACATCCTGCTGGTCCGTTCTGACTCAATGTTTTCCCTTTGTTCCTCTCTATCATGGTGTTTCACAGGCTGTATTATCTACAAGAAATGGGCAGAGCAGTGGTAAAGCCAGCTGGACCTATGGCAAACCGCCTGGGTTGGAATCCTGCCTCTACCCTTTGACAGCTTTTTAACCTTAAGTAATTTATTTAACTGTGCCTCCTTTCCTCATCCTAAAGATGAAAATAGTTATAGTACCTATCTCACAGGATTAAATGAGATAAAATAAGTAAAGGGCTTTAAACTATACTCAGAATAAAATGCTTAATAAAATCTCCCTCTCTAGACTACAAAGGCCCTAATGTCAGAGCCCAGAGAGAGAGAGAGAGAGTGGTCAATCAATGTTGAATGGATCATCCTAGACCATGTCTGCTCTTTCCTTTTTCTTTTCCTATAACTGGCAATAAATCTGTCCTGACTGCCATTTTCTGCATCGCAGCTCTCTGGGATCTGCCCTAAATTATTTTTAAAATGATCTTTTTTTTTTCCCCTAGTTGGGCATATTTCAAAATATCTACTTCTAGCAGCCCCAGCTGGTGGCTGTGAGAGGAAAAGCCTAGATTACAGCTGGCGTTCTGCTTCTGGGATATGTTCACTCTGCTAGGAGAATTTACACCTACTCCTCAAACCCCAAATTTCTTTTCCTTTCTTCCCTTTCCTCTTCCCCTTCCCCTCCTTCTCCTTCTCCTCCTTCTTCTTCCTTCTCTTCTTCCTCTTCTTCTTCTCCCTCTCCCTCTCCTTCTTCTCCTCCTCCCCGCTCCTTCTCTAATGCTACTGCTGGTCAGAACTACTGAAGGAGGGAGAGTTACCTGTGGGGGCACAAAGGTGACTGCAACAATCATTTCTCATGAAAGGCCAAGTGTTATTTCTTATGGCAGCATTTCCAGGTGTTCCTTATACACCCAGGAGAGATTCACAGATGTTACACACACACAGACACACACACATACACACACACAGTGGTCCCACAGTTGAATAACTGTATGTATGAAATGCTGAGTTCCATATAGGAGAAACGTTTCTGTAGAAGTCCTCAGATCTTTTGATAAGCTAGTATGCATCGTCACTGTCTGAGGGGAAAAGGAATATGCAGCTTTCCTCAAACTTAGTTGACCACTCCTCTGCCCTCACCCCCAACGCACACCCAGCACCACACTGAACTTGAACATGACAGACCTCACTGTTGCTTGTCTTTTACTTTGTTTGTAGTTTCTTTTGATACAAAAGTTTAAAATGTTGATGCTATAAAGTTTACCTGTTATTTCCTTTATGGTTTTCACTATAAAACCTCTTTTAAAAAATCCCTCCCTATCTCAAATTCATAAAGATATTCTCTTTATATTTTCTTATAAAACGTTTAAAAATTTTTTTTCACATTTAGGTCCATCAGTGATTTTTTTTTAATGTGGGTCCGAAGGCAATTGTTTCATCTTTCCTCACTGATGGACAAATAGTATCATTGACTAAATTTCTATATGTGTGTGTAGGTCTGTGGATCAGTTAGGATTAGATTCAGTTGCTTTGACGAGATGGAAGTTTCTTTCTCACATTATCCAGGTGTGACGTTCTATAGACACCTTCTATGTTTCTCTGCTTTGAAAGGCCTTGACCTCATGGTCCCATGTGGTGTTACTTGCATTCCAGGCAGCAGGAGGGATGAAAGTGATAAAGAGAAAATAAGCAAACACTCTAGAATGATTCTGGAAGCTGCCGCATGGCACGTCTGCTTACATCCTATCGGCCAGAGCTGGGAAATGGGGTCTTTATTCTGGCCATCATGTATACAGCTAAAAATTCCATAAAATGTTAGTAAAATAAACATCGGGAGAGAGCGGCAACCTCTGCCGAGACTGTTTCTGGACTATTTATTCTGTTCCAGTGAGATGCCTGAAAAAAAAAACCTTCTAATATTTAAAAATTTTTATTTGTTCATTTATTGGAAAATTAAAATATAAGAAAATGACAGGCAAGAAAATAATCAGCTATATACCACCTTTCAGAATCAACCACAGAAATGACCATTACATTACATCATTCCAGAAAGCTTTCTATGCATATTTACAGATAGGAGGAAAGATCGTAGAGATATTTATAAGAATTAGACCATAACAGATATTATTTTAATAAAAAGTATTAAATTTGGGGCCGGCCCAGTGGCGCAAGCGGTTAAGTGCACGCGCTCCGCTGCGGCGGCCCGGGGTTCACCAGTTCGGATCCCGGGCACGCACCGACGCACCGCTTGGCAAGCCATGCTGTGGCGGCGTCCCATATAAAGTGGAGGAAGATGGGCACGGATGTTAGCCCAGGGCCAGTATTCCTCAGCAAAAAAAAAAAAAAAAAAGGAGGATTGGCAGATGTTAGCACAGGGCTGATCTCCTCACACACACACAAAAAAAACACACAAAAAAAATTAAAAAAGGCTTAAAAAAAGTACTAAATTTAATTTTACTTGAATTTAAAAGAAGTTGAAGTGAAACTGAAGAAGAGTTGAACTTCAAATAATGTTTCTTGACCACAAGAGATATTACTTCCTAAAAAATACCTCTGAGGTTAAATGAAAATTATGAAAAACATTAAGAGGTTGGCGTTTTTTAAAATTACACATTTCAATTGTGTGTGTGTGTGTGTGTGTGTGTGTGTGTGTATTAGCTCTCACTATTCTTCCCATCTGCCTTGACCCTGCCTCCTGACTTTTGTTACTTATATTATTATTACATTGTCCAAGTTTATGATAATCATATTCCATTTTGTAAAAATGTAATTGCATAGTTACTTGATATACATTCTAGATTTAAATGAATTCAGTGCTTGTCACTGGTCCTTTTATCAAGGCTTCTCCATTTGCAAGTTCTTTATTTCGATCCATCTCTTAATGGGCTGAATTTCATTGTTAAGGTGTTTTTTCAAGACAGGTTTTAGATGTTTAAGAATGTCTGTCTGTTGCCTTTATACTGGAACCATATCTCAGCTGGGTACAGTATTCTTGGGCCCCACTTTCTTTCCCACATAGTGTGGTAGGTTTTGTTCCTTTTTTTTCTAGGAAGAAGTCTGAGGACAGCCTGAATTTTCCCCCTCGCAGATGACTTTTTTTCCCTGCTTATATGCCTAAAGAAGTCACTCTTCATCATTTTTTAGTTCAATAACTTAACTAAGACACTTATTAGTATTAAACATTCTGAATCAAGCATTTCTGGAACATAATGTGTCTTTCAATCTGCAGTATTAGTTTTGTTTTTTCTTCATTAGACATTCATGATGGCAGCGGGGGATCACTGACGGTCTCCCCACTGTTTGAGACCAGACTGTTTCTCCCTCTGAGCTAAGCGAGAGGCTGGGTGTTTGGCTTCGGTACCTTTCTGGTAGTCTGCAGGGGAGGAGGGGAAAGAGGAGAGCTCAGCCAAAGCAGAGTGCAATCTTTGTTGGAATACCTGTGCATGCTCCTGTCCTGAGGTTCTGATTAATATCTTGCACAAGGCTCATGTCACTTGATTGGGACTGGAGAGGAGGACACTATACACCTTTTCCAAGGGAGGGGGATAACCCAGGCTTCGGATCAATTTCTCAAGTTGAAGAGTTGTTCTGGAGCCTTTATTTCCATCGGCTGAGTCAGCTCCATGGATCATGCTCCCTGCTTCCCCTAATTCTCCCCCGCACACTTTGTAATACTGCTCATTCAGAAGAGGAA